CTCTGTGTCTCTCTTTCTCTCTGTAGATGGAGATTCCAGCCTCCAGTCTGATCAACCGCTACATAGCATGCCAGGGCCCGCTGCCCAACACCTGCCCCGACTTCTGGCAAATGACATGGGAGCAGGGCTCATCTATGGTGGTCATGCTAACTACTCAAGTCGAAAGGGGGCGGGTATGTAGAAGAATTCTTCAAAGACAAGGACTGCAGCATGTTCAGAAATAGGTTTTCACTGTTAATGTTTCCATTCAGAAAAAACTTTACTGTACATGTGCAATTGGTTAGATCCAACTATAAACTCAGACATTAGGAGAGTGTGAGTGAGGTTGTTTGGTACTGATATATCTGTATCATTAAATGCATGTCTAAGTGAGACACTTAAAAATACTTTATTTACTGCAAAAAGGAGTTTCTGCAACTTGTTTATTTGAGCATTTTTTATAAAATACACAAAGTGAGTAAAAGATGTTTTACTGTGAAAACAATGGAACTAAAACTCCTTTAGTCCTCAAACCAGGTGTGAATTTAAAAAACAAAAACGCGTACATGCAAATTTCTATAAAATTAGAAAGAATTGTTTTGTTAAGAATTGAATTCAGTCCACCTTTCATTAGTCCAGATGGACTGAATGCATTGTATATGCTATATAGTTGTGTATTGAACATAATAGCAAACAGATGGCTAATTTAAAAGGTGAAACATGCCACTGGCCTGACCTTTGACCCCCTGAGCTGAGAATAACAGTCGTGACCTGTTAAGTAAATTAGACGTTCAGTTGTAAACGGAATACTTTTGTGTGTGTTTGTAGGTCAAGTGTCACCAGTACTGGCCCAATCCAGACAGCAGCGCCACCTACGGAGACTTTACAGTAACGTGCCACAATGAAGAGGGCAACTCTGCCTTCCTGGTCCGGGAGATGACTCTAGTGCACACACCGGTAAATACACACGCAAACACACACTTAAAATAGAAAGAAAAAAAAAAAAGGGTGGACAAACGGGGGAAGGGAAATTGGGAAGAAGAGAGTGAAGGTGAAGCAGATATAGAAGAGGAGGTTGGGGAGGAGGGCGAAGGCAACGCAGAGAGAGAGACGCCGGGTCCAATCAAAGAGAGGGACCGAGCGTCTCAGGAAAGGATGAGCCGCTGAGGACCCCGAGGAGGTGTGTTGCCATAGTGACCAGTGTGGGCTGTTCTTTTTCTGGCTCCTGCTTGCTGCATGCGGGCCACGTTTTGGGATCTGGTTACCATGACAACCCCAACCACCCCAGTCAGTCACATTGCTGAAATAGAGAGAGCGAGAACAGAGGAACCAAACAGAGGAAGAGAGGAGCAGAGAGTGGGACGAAGATAGTTTTAAAAAAAAAACCAGGGAGAATGTAAGTTTGTTTTATTTTGATGTTGAAGCCTTTTGAAGCTCACAGTTAAACTTCAACGCGTTACGGTGAACTTTTATCTCATTCCTCTAAACTGAAGGTTTTCGGATGCAGAATGGTGCGATATCGTTGTCTTTTTTTTTCTGTAATATATGTAAAAGGGCATCTACCATGCCGGCATTGAGGACAAAATCTAATTGAAAATTAACTTTTAATGGAGGATCAAATGTTCCTGCTGTTTCCTCGCCATTTCCTGCTGCCTGTGTTTTCCTGATTACTTCTCTGTGTGTTGCCCATGCATCGTGGCCTTTTGAGATATATGGCTGTAGTAGGAGGCAATTAGCATTCTCCTCTGCCTGTGATTGTTGCCATGGAGATAGATGTGTTACCATGGCGATGCGGCGAGGCAATATTAAAGAGGAACACACGGGTTCTGCGTGGCACATGAAACAGTGGTCAGTAGTTATCTGCTGTAGCTTCTGTGTGTGTGTAAGCCATCATTATTGTGTCCCTGTTGGGTTTAAATCTTTTTTTTAAATTATTTATAGTTTGATTGCAGCAACATAAGATGTACATTTTAGTTGTAGAGCCGCAGAAAATGTTGTCATCAGTATCTGGTGTTTCATGAAACGGGAAAGAACAATGTGAATCACCAAGTGGTCCAGCAGAGTGGAACAAATAAAGCCAGTTTGTTATTCACACTACCCGTTTCATAACATGTTTGAAGGCCATAATTACACAAACAGGGCGGCTGTGCAGTCTCCCCCTAGGACACAGAGCTCAATGAAACATGCTAGGAGGTTGCCCACATGAAATACAAGAACCTGCATTGAACCAGTTCTGAGTATGAGTGATATCTGAGAACAATTAATCACTCAGGAAGCTCGGGTCTTGACTGAGGCGATAGTGAATGCTCTCAGTTCGTTTCCAAGGCCTCTAAAACTAAAGAAGCTTTCCTGGAAGACATTAAAATATAATATAAAGTCATTTCTTATCTCCTTTTCCTTCTGTGTGTGTGTTCAGAGTGAGCAGCAGAGAGAGCTCACCCAGATTCAGTACCTAGCTTGGCCGGACCACGGCGTCCCTGATGACTCCACTGATTTCCTGGACTTTGTGGCTCTGGTACGGACCAAACGGGCCGGACAGGACCAGCCGATGGTGGTACACTGCAGGTACAGTAGTTCTTTGTGTGAATTATTTGTAGTGGGCCTGTTGCAATAACTGCAATAATGAAGCACAGCACTACTGACGAGCCAACCCCAGGGGATTGCAAGCCACCACCACAACCACATGTGACCTCAAATGATCACGTCATGTTCAGTATGAAGACAGCCGTCTGAAATGTAGTATCAGCTACTCAGTATCCCTCAGTTCACAACCCAGGATTACAATAGCACACAGGAGAAAGTCAGATAGCTTCGCCTCACTCCTGACTGGAAACACAGTCTTTTAGTAGAAAAAGCTGACCGGTTTGCTAAATATCCCAATCCGTCACGGTTGTGTATTTGCGTTCCATGGCTAGCTTATTCTGCTTAAAGTCGGCAGTAACAGGGTCACAGATCCAGGAGGCAGGAGGAGGGAAATTGCAGGTAATTAGGTATTGAGATGAACCTCTTAAAAAGTCATTAGCAAACATTAAACATCAACATACACCACACACACACCGTGCTGTTGAGCCACCGTGAATCACTGCAACAGCCCTAATTTGTAGTGGTGAATCCATAATCAGCTGATTTGTGTGTTTAAAGATTTAAACTCTAATCTTTGTCGTTCGTCTTTTCTTCCAGTGCGGGGATTGGTCGGACAGGGGTTCTGATCACCATGGAGACAGCACTGTGTCTAATGGAGTGCGGCCAGCCAGTTTATCCTCTAGATATCGTCAGGACCATGAGAGACCAGAGGGCCATGATGATCCAAACGCCTGTATGTATACGCATCGATATGTCTGTCCAGCTGCCCCCAGGCTCTTTAAACCATCCGCTAAACCATCTCTCTCTCTCTCTCCGTCTCTCCATCAGAGCCAGTACCGCTTTGTATGTGAGGCCATCCTGAAAGTCTATGAGGAGGGCCTGGTCAAACCACTCAAGACCGCTGTCTACCAGCCGAGAGAAAAGGTGGACGAGGAGAGGGACGACGAGAAGAAAGAGCAGCAGAAAGCAGGCGAAGGAGAAGACAGGGCAGCGACGGAGGAAGGGGAGGCGGCAGCGGTGGAGTTGCTGGAAGGAGGTCTGGATGAAGAGGACGACGACGACGAAGAGGTGGAAGTGCTGGATGTGGGAGAAGTGACGGAAGAGGGGGAGGACGAGGAGGACGAAGAGGAGGAGGAAGTGGAGGAGCCGAGCGTCGCAAGCGCCACCAGCGTGACCAGTGAGACCAGCGTGAACCCTGAACCTGAATCCGCTAACCCGTGACTTTTGACGGGTCATCAGGGGTCACCAGGGGGAGGCCAGGTGGTCGGAGAAGAGAACAAAAGCACTGTTGCACTTTATGCTGACAAAAACCGGAAAAAAGACAAAACAAACGAACAAACGTGAAAATCACGGACAAGCTAGAATAAAAAAAGAAACCCAGCTGTGTTGAATAGGTACCATTAGGGGATATTGTATGTTCAGGGGAAAGAAAAAAAGTATTCAAAGAATGAAAAGATAAAAGTACGAGAGAATAAAATGTGGATGGGGAATTGCTGTAGTGCCATAAGTACGAAGGGGAAGGGCTGCCCCCCTTGATGGAAAGCTTTTTCCCCCCCGTTTTATTTCCCCCAAAGGGTCGCCCTGTCCCCTTCTGAGCGAGTCTGCCAGACGGACCTGCCTTTTTTTTAGTGTCCTTTTAGCTGATAAAGAGATATACCTTATCTTTTGTTCCTCAGAGAGTATTTATTGTGTTTTAGTTTGTGTCAAACCCTGTCCACTGAACAAAAAAAAACTTGTATGTTTGTTTGTATGAATCTAGAGCTTCATGCTTTCCTGATTAAATCTTAGGTAGTTAAGTAGTGCGATTCCTCTTCTTCTAACTACTTCTTCATTTCTTCTGCTTTTTGTGGAAAAAAAAACAGTGATTTAATTTATTGTACTTGGTTTTTATCTTTCTCAGCTTTCTTGTCTAAGTTTCTGACAGCACAGACTGACAGATGGACAGCTGAAAGCACTTTGTGTCTCACCTCTTGTTCAATGCTGTGGCAAGTTTTATTCTTTATCCTACTTTGTGCTGTGTTTGTGAGCTTACAGACACACACGCTCTGAAGCGGCCATCGTTTGGCATGGTGAAGAACATAACTGGTTTACAATCCTCAGGGCCTGTGTTAACTGGGCACCTCTCTTTCACTCGGTCACGACGGCTACTGTTGCTCTACGACTACAGACCTCTCACTGTCAGATGTAATGAGCAAACAGATTAACGTCACATCGCATTATTAATTCAACACAAGGAAATTTAAGAGTGTCGTAAAGAGGGGCCCCAGTCGACACACGGCCTCTCTGAGTTACAATCTAAACTGTTTTCCCAGCCGTCGTGGCTGATACAAAGCTAAGAAACAAGGCTGAGGTTAGTTCATTTATTTCTTCAAATTCATATTTAGTTAATAGTTAAGTCAAACCTACAGGTCACTTGCAACTGATGAAGTGGGCAGCAAGGGTCCCTGCTGAAGTGTCCTTGAGCCAGACACTGATAATAAAGCCCCGCTGCATGTGAAGCTCAGTGGTTTCCCCCAGAGCGAGGAGAACTTTGTGCAACCCAAACGTGTCTTGCTCACCTTTCACACAAGTCAAATAGTGGTCAAAGGTAGGTCATTAAAGTGGTTGAAAACTGCTCGACTTTTTATGCAATCAGTATTTGCCCGCCCCCCCACCCACCCAAGGTTTCACACAAACTAATAAAATGTGATGCTGAATGAACATGAAACTGATCTCAGCCCTTAGTGTGAAATGGTAAAAACCATGACTTAAAGCCACTCGCAAACGACCCCTCACAATTTGAATCCTGTAAACATGAAGCAAAACCCAAGATCTTTTGCCACACCATGCATTGAGACTTATTATTTTTGGCTTTGGTGAGCAACCGCTAGCATAGCATTAACGGTAAGACTAATTATGTTAACATTCCTCATTAAACTTTTTTTTTTTTTGTAGAAAAAGGGTCAGAGGCATTGGAGGGGTAAACCCCAAACCTTTGCTGTTCAGTTTTTTTCTAAATCGCCCTAATTGTCCTGCCAGAGAACACTTTATTATTCAAAGAGGCACAACGGAACATCAACCCCAATACTTTAACCTTTTTTATTGATCTTATCCCAATGGTACTTTTAATTTAAGGCAACAGTTTTTTTTATAGCAGAGAGAAGGTTAAGGTGATAATTGTACGACTGAATTTTTAATTCACAAATCCCCCAGCCCATCAAGTTTGCTTGGAGTCCTTTTTTTTTTTGTCTCAGTGCAGGTTAAGCTGCCATTGTTCTTTACAAAGCAGCGTGGAATGAAGTGTAGCCTCTTCACAATTTGAGACATTTTTCTTATCGGCTGCTTCAGTACCTGCTGTCATTGGCTCCTCCATGGATTCTGCTGAAAAAACCTACTGCTGTGAGGGTGAGAGAGTTGTTGTGTGTGTGTGTGGTGTTGGACTCAGATTTCAGTCTTTATCTCTCACTGTACCTCTCCCTCCTCCATTTCTAACATAGTTGGTTAGCTGTCTGGTCTAAGCCTGCTTGTCCGTTAACTGGAATGAAAAGGTTGTGCCGTAAAAAGCCACAAACCTAATCTAACCCCCGATCTCAAGTTTTTTCTGAAGAAACGCAGATAGAGCCTCCTTGGAGAGTAAACTTTTAGTCTGAATCTTTCCCTGTGAAACATTTCAAACCATTCTCATACCTCCCTTTCATACAGCTGAATCATACTTTTTTTTTCTCCACATGGAGAGGTGGCTCAAGAAGAGTCTAGAAACAGCTTTTCCTCTTCACTATTTTGTTTTTTTAATTCCTCCTTTAGTGCGGCCCTCTCCCAAAAATCTGCCTAAATCCTTCTCTCAGGCAACATCAGTCATTTCAGCAGAGCCCACGCAACATTCACTATCCATTCTTCTCATTGTTCTTCCCCAGATGCCTCTCTTTTGGATCATTATACATGGATCCCACTCTCTCTGCATGGCCTCAAGGCAAATGACACATCTGAGCAGAATACCATGGGTACAGTAGCGCAGTATCAAGCTTGTTTTCCACACAGGGACAAAGTGAAGCTAGCCAGCGAATAGCAGACCGAATAACTGGTTTCAAATGTTATTTTATTTTTAAATTTTTTATTGACAGTTGCACATTCATTGCAGACCCTGCATGCATGAGCTTATAATCAAAAGAACAAAGACACCATTCAGCCCCCACTGGCTTCTTATCATCAGGTTTTTTTTGTGTATTCAGCAGCAGGGCCAACCAAATGAAATTACCACCAAATCTAAATTAATTAACGCGGAAGCCCTCCTGATAAAGTGGCATCAATGACAAGTTCACAAAGCTTTGTCAATTTCCAACAAGAAGATTAAAAACAAACAAACATCGGCCATGCAGCGAAAAGTTAATAATTGATAAATTCAGGCCGCCAGAGTTTCCAACTGCACAAAATGTCCAGCAATGAGCTGTCTGTGTTGAAAGTGTTTTGTTGTTGACACATAATTGGTACTGTCTGTGCGTTTAGGGGTACTGATCAAAGGTAGTTTGGAGGGGACCAGACACGGGGGAGGGCTCGGGTTTAGTTGTATTTTTGTAAAGATGAAAACAGCTCTAGTTGGGTAGGGAAAGGACAGCACTTTGTAGAAGGCTGAGTGGCAGGTAAGGCTACTGACAAAAAAAAAAAGAAAAAGTTGGAGACATAAAGCATTGTTAAAATATGTTCTTCTTCTTTTTTTAATTTGTCATTTTTATTTTGTTTGAAAATAAGACCAGTAGGGAACAAGAAAAAAAGAAAAGAACTCCTAACTACACAGTGCCACTTGTTAATTTTGTGTAAATAATACTAGACCATGTAAATACAATGTTGTATATGAAAAAAAATCTTTAAAATAAAAGGGAAAATCATTTGTGAGCAGAAACATTTTGTTTTTATTTTGTTTTTGTTTTTTTTTCTCCTTTTTGAATGATTCAAATGTGACACAAATGGTGTGTATTTCAAGACTGCTATTTCAAAAAAAATTTGTTTTATTTGAATCGTCATCTATAACAGCGAGTGTATATATATAATGAAACACAAAATAATGAGAAATGTTTTACCGTATTATACCCTTGGTTAACTCCTACCTGTGTTATAAAAACCTTTTGTCCTCAGTTGCTTGTTTCTTTCTGGTATCATGGTTTTACGGTGCTTTGGACATGTCTAATAGGCTTGATTGTGAACAATTAAAGCTTGTCTGTCAAAGCATGGAGACGTGGCTTCAGATCAACTTGCTTTTCCACACTGTAAAAGTGAGGTTGGGCAATGTAAGGTCGCACCAGTGCCCGAAGACTTTGACCAGAGTCACTTATTTAGATTTTTTTTTAGATTGATTTAATAATAGAGTGAAGCCATTAGTCACATAAGTTAGCCAAACTGCTCAATCTCTGTAATTTCAGTCTTCAATGAAAATAAGACTGAGAAGGTTTTCAAAGAAAGAGGAAATAACTTTTTTTAAGGGGGATTTCTAAAGAAACAAACCACTGAACAGCTTCTGCTGCCATGAAGTAAGCCAACCTTAAAGATTTATAAGTCAGATGATTTGATATTAAGTCATTTGTATCTAGCTATATTGTTTTATAATGATATTATTGAGCCAAAGGCCACAGTGGGAGCTATTACCGTAGATTAAAGCTCCAAAGCGGAAAAAAAAGATTTAAATGTTACAAGTGATTTAGAGACATTCGTCATAGTTTCTGAGGTATATCAGTTCATTAGAGGCCTACATTAATACAAGGAGGCCTCCTTAAATGTATCTTTGCCTTTAGATGGTAAATACAGCTGGATTATATATCAGCATATGATGGGTTTATTGCATTAGGATGATATTACTAGTACTGTGGGGCAGGGCATAGGTGCATTTTGTAGTATCCAGTAGAACTAGTTAAAGGCCACACTTTGTATCTGCCACTGTGTCATCCACATACATGTTAGTGATTATTCTATTCTCTGTGCAGACAAAAATATGGCCTGTTTATATATACAATGGCGACAATAAAGAGTCAGATTTAGGGATTTATTTTGGCAACAACTGGGAACAGTGTCACTCTTAAAACATTAAAAAAAATAAAATGTTGATTGGGAGAAAAGTTGCTACTCTTAAACCCTGACTCTATACACACTATCATACTCTGGTACCCTAAATTAACCACAGGTCTGATTGTCTGTTGCCACATTTCTAAACCATTATTCCCAAACCAACCAGAAGGGGGTGCTGCTGTCAAATAGTGATGGACTACATCAGTGGTCAAATTAGACCACGGACCAAAAAAATCAAACAAACAACCCCCATTTTATTAAATATTGTCCCAGGGAGCCCTATCTGATGGGACTTGCCATTATTATTATTATTATTAATTAATAATAATTATTTTCTAAACAAAGTTACAAAGTGCCTTACATAATGTCAAGACAATTCAAATCATATAGAAATGAGGTAGAATAAAGACCCCAATCAGTAAAAAATAAAATAATGAAATACCCACCGCTAATATATGATAGAACAATAATACTAATATAATACGAGGCGTTATGCAGTGTGTTAGAATAGATAAAAACAAATATGTTTTAAGATGTTTTATGACCAAAACAAATTATAATAAAATTTTTAAAAATATAATCAGCCAATGCGACTATAATTAAGTGTCGGGGTCTTTTAGATATAAACAATAAAAAACAATAAAAAAAAAAACAATAAATAAATAATAAACCAGCTCGATAAAAAGAGGCGTGTCTCTTTAAAAACGCTAATCACGTTTTTGTCAGGGATTTATCGTGACGTCACTTCCTGAGGAGAGCTTTTTTTTTTTTTCTTTGCCTCCTACTTTTTTTTTTTTGTCGGGACCTGGGAGAGAAAATCATCCCGCAGAGGGGGAAAAAGGGAGAGAAGAAACAAGTTACAAACCCCGCGGGAATGTACGAGGTCGCTGTTTAGTCGGTCTACAATGCAAGCGGACGTGCTTTCAACCGTGAATTCATAACCAGGAGGTTTCTGTAAGTATCCCCTGTTCATCCAAAGACCTCCGCGGATCCACAAGTGGCTGCGGAGCAAGTGTACATGTCGGATCCAGCTTTTCGGGTCTGAAAAGGAAAGGGTGCGTTTGTTTTGCCGCGCGAGACGCGCTTGTGCGCTCGGAGTCTGGGGATTTGCTTTGCGTTCGTTGCTGACGGTTAGCTCCGCCGTGTAAAACGAGCGCACACCTGTTGCCTTTGCTTACATCGGGTAACTTCAAGGGGCCTTTTACTGATTTTACAAATTGTGACGCGAAGGGGTTAAACTATTTATTTGTTTGCTTTGTTCACATTATTTCAGCGGATTTTACACATTTTAAAGCCGTTTTTTGGGGGGTGAAGAGACCGTTGGTGTCTCAGCGGTTTCTTTATCTGGCTGACCTGAAAAACCACAAATGGCGAGCAAGTTTAGACATCTTTACAGTCGACTAACGCTGCCTAACTTTATTTTAAAAACGAATTTAACCCAGCTAATAATGTAATAAAGCTCCATCTCAAACGCCTTCTTTATTCTTAATTGTCTTCTTGTAACTATGGCGACATTCGTATTCTTGTAGGTTCTGACGCCAGGTTTACGTTAGCTGCGTTAAAAGAAGTTAGTGACGTTAGAACGCAAAATCGACCGTTAGCCGTTACTGGTATCGTTGATAACCATGGTAACGTTAACTAACGGGTAACCTAGGTGATAAGAAACGTTATGTCGTTAGTGGGGCTCACTGTTAAATTAACGTTAACTGGATATATACAATTATTTATTAATAGTATTTGTATTTGTCACCTGTAGCATCAACTGTCAATTAATTTAAACATTTAAGAAAGAAATTATTTTATTTATTTAGAATTATTATTATTTCAGAAGAAATGTTTAAACCAAATAATATTATCTAGAAGATATTTGATAGTTTGCAAATGTTAACTTCTAATATATTGTGATACAGCAAACAAATCAGTGTTTTTCCAGTTGATGCCGCACACAGAGACTGTAATAAAACACACTTAGCATCTCATGTGTGTGTGATCTTAGTAGATACATACTTTATTGATCCCCAAGCCACCTGACACACACCCCCATAAATGTTTCATAGGTTCATTTTACACATGCAACAAATTTAAAGGCCTTTTTTTAAGTTCTCAAATACAAAATGAACCCTTTAAATGTCTGAATATGTGTCTTTTCTTTTTCTCTGTACAGGTGTGGTAGTGCAACCCTCTCGAGCACCCGTCATGCTGAGTTTCCTGCGCAGGACGCTGGGGCGGCGCTCCATCCGGAAACACGCAGAGAAGAGCCGTTTGCGGGAGGCCCAGCGCGCCACGACGCACATCCCTGCTGCCGGGGATGCAAAGTCTATCATCACCTGCCGCGTGTCCCTACTGGACGGGACGGACGTCAGCGTTGACCTGCCGGTAAGGAGGGTTTCTGCAGGTTCAGCCGTTCCAGGGTTGTGCGTCCTCATTGAGAAGTAGTCGGGACATTCACGAGCCAGACACCCGATTGTTGTCGTCATCTTTGAGGTCGTGTGTGTTTCTTCTGTGCTCGATTGTGTCACAATATTCGGAAAGGACAGTTAGAAACCTTTAGTAGCTGTACATAAAGGTTGAGTATTTATGCGGTTTTAAAAGTAGTTAATGCAAATTCTGTTGTGTTTTTACACCCAAATGTTAAATATAAATAGAAACAAATCCCACACCTGAACCAAAAGATACTTAACCTGTAGAGTCTGTCATTGTGTCTCTACTGGTCTGCCTGCAGTGCTGAGGACAGTTAATGCCTAGGAAATGGATTATACTCTCTAAAATCACTGTCAAATGGCCGTTAACTATGAAGCACAGGAGATATACTGTGTGTGTGTGTGTGTGCGCGTGTGTAGTAGTGCCGCTGATCACCTGTAATCCGTGATCCTCTCTGGAGAACACACTTCATCACATGACACGTTGGGCTGTTCACCAAGTGGACACAGAGCAGAACTCCTCCTCCTTACTCCCTCTTCTATCTTCTGTCGTTCCTCCGCCGTCACATATCGTGTTAATTGTTCCTCTGTAGCGACTTCTTTCAGACAAACGCCGAGCTTCTGCTGGGGAAAAACCTAATGTAGTGCTTAAGTCGTGTAGTTTTTTTAGAACTGAGGGTATGAATATCTTTTTTTTATATTTATATTTTATATTTATACATAGAAAGATAGTGTACAATAGTGTACATAAATTCAAAATTAATTAATTAAAACAAAACAATATGATACATAAGTAAATAATAATAATAATAATAATAATAATAATAATAAATAAATATATAATAAAATAATAATAATAAAAAAAGATATAATAATAATAATGCTAATAAAAAATAAAAATAAATAATAATGATAATAATAAAAAATATATAATAATAATGATAATAATAAATAAATATATAATGATAATGATAATAATAAATAAATATATAATAATAATGATAATAATAATAATAATAAAAATAAAAAAGGTAATCAAAAATGGTCCTTATGGGTTT